TCTCTCTTCTTAGCTTATCATTTATACATTGATTAGGTTCTTTAATCACCAAACCAAATCTTCATCAACTGAATCAGAACTCTCTATTATTTGTTTCTTACTACCAAAAAATTTATCAACAACTTCGATTGAGAGATCGAATAGTTTGTTTCCTACTTTTCGCTTCCTTTTCCTTTTTTCAAATCCATAACTTACAATAAAAAAATCCACACAAATTCACAATCCACAATGTTTTCAGAAATCAGAGCACAGCAAGAATTATAGATTTTCCAATAAAGCACATAAATTAGAGACTATTCCAATTAGGAACACAAAAAATCACAATTAGGGCAAACTATATTCTTCCATTGAAATCTGTGTGTGTGTGTGTGTGTGTGTGAAAAAGAGAGAGAGAGAGAGAGAGAGAGAGAGAAAGAGAGAGACGGAAATGAAGAGTTTCAAATAGAAATAGAGAGACGGTGGAACTCACCTTAGTAAACAATGATGCAGATGGTGGTGGCAGTGGAGCTTCGAAATTGAAACCGATTTGAATCTCTGCAAATGATAAGCATTTGGAGAGAGAGAGAGAGAGAGAGCTCACCTACCTCGTCAGTACAGATGGTGGTGGCGGTGGAGCTTCAAAATCGAAATCGCTCTGAATCTCAAAGATGAATCTGTGAGAATGATCTCAGATTCAAAATAAGCTTCGAAATTGAGAGAGAATCACCGAAACATAGATTTCGAAATCGAAATCGAAATCGAGAGAGAGAACTTCAATTAGGGCTACAGTGAGAGATGAATCGATCCGTTGAGACGGTTGAGAGAGAGAGCAAGAGAGAGAGAGAGTGAGTGAGTGAGACATTAGGGATACAAAATGTACTATATTTCATATTCACTGCTCGCCCATTTGAAAGAGAGAGAGATAGGACATTCGAAAGCGCTTTCAAGCGCCTTTGGTTATTGAAACGGTGCCGTTTTGATTTTAAAAAAAGCGACGTTAAAAAAACGCCGTTAAATAAACGTCGCCAAAACTCATTTTTCTTGTAGTGTTATCATGTGAAGGGCACATTGAATTGATCTATATGGTAATTTGATTGTTTGATTGATCTTCTATTGTGACATTTCGATATCAAAGCTATGATTTTATATATATATATATACAAATCATTTGATGTGCCAAAAGTGAAAATATCTATAAATAGCCCCTCTACTAATACCTCAAGGCAAACACATCTTATCTTTCACTAATTTCAACATATATAGTGGGCTAGTGTAGTAAATAGAGATATGAATCTCCTAAATTTGACTAACCAAATGGCCTATTGATAAAGTCAAGTGGGGAAGAAAGATTCATGTAGCCGGCCCCATTGATGAGACTTAAGGCTTGGCTTGGTTTGGTTTGGTTTGTTAATGGTGGCCTCTCTCTCTCTCTCTCTCCAACTCTCCTTTTCCAGCAATAACATGTACAAAGGCAGAACCAGGGGTGGAAAAGGGACCATGACCCACTTAAAGCTCTCAAAAGTCCTGCGAATATTTCATTGTTTGCTCTTGAATATCTTATATTGTAAAGAGTTGGATCCCTAGTTTATATTCAATAAACTAGTGTAACCCATTAAGCACACAAAAATAAAAATAAAAATGCTGCAGATTGCTAATCCAGCATGTCAATAAACTAAACTACGTTAAAATGTGGAGAAACTAGAAACCATTACCCATCTGGACATCCACCTCTCTCTATGCCAGTTTATACAAACAGTTTGTCTCTCTTCTCTATCACCATCAACAAAACTTTCTATTCTCTCCCAAACTCTCCACATCAAAATGCACAACGAACTTAACAAAAAACATGCATTACAAAGCAAACAATTATTGTTCTTCATCTATGAGCTAAAAGATTATTGTTCTAAAATTAGATTTCCCTCTCAATGTCTCTATGTAACTTTGTATGACAAGCTCCTATCGTGAACAATAGCATCAGGCATACCACATACCTTCATTGCAAGAACCGCCTATTGGGAGTGACACTTCTTCTCTAAAACAAAAATTTTGTTGTTTAACGTAAAAATCTTGTCAAAACCCATATTAACATCGAGATAGAATCATGATTCCAACTAGGATGAGACCACTCAAACATATGAATCTTGAAGAAACAAAAAAAATAAACAAAACAAAAATCTATCAAGGCAAAAGTGTCGAAACACATCACTTAAAAAACACACAACTGAACTCAAACTTACTGAGATTCGAACCGAACAGAGGATTGAACCACGGCCCAGATCGCGAAAAACCCTCTTCAAAATCAAGTGTAGAGAAACACACAACTGAACTCAAACTTACTGAGATTCGAACTGAACAGAGGATTGAACCACGGCCCAGATCGCGAAAAACCCTCTTCAAAATCAAGTGTAGAGAAACACACAACTGAACTCAAACTTACTGAGATTCGAACTGAACAGAGGATTGAACCACGGCCCAGATCGCGAAAAACCCTCTTCAAAATCAAGTGTAGAGAAACACACAACTGAACTCAAACTTACTGAGATTCGAACTGAACAGAGGATTGAACCACGGCCCAGATCGCGAAAAACCCTCTTCAAAATCAAGTGTAGAGAAACACACAACTGAACTCAAACTTACTGAGATTCGAACTGAACAGAGGATTGAACCACGGCCCAGATCGCGAAAAACCCTCTTCAAAATCAAGTGTAGAGAAACACACAACTGAACTCAAACTTACTGAGATTCGAACTGAACAGAGGATTGAACCACGGCCCAGATCGCGAAAAACCCTCTTCAAAATCAAGTGTAGAGAAACACACAACTGAACTCAAACTTACTGAGATTCGAACTGAACAGAGGATTGAACCACGGCCCAGATCGCGAAAAACCCTCTTCAAAATCAAGTGTAGAGAAACACACAACTGAACTCAAACTTACTGAGATTCGAACTGAACAGAGGATTGAACCACGGCCCAGATCGCGAAAAACCCTCTTCAAAATCAAGTGTAGAGAAACACACAACTGAACTCAAACTTACTGCGAGTTTTGCGCGGCACCTCCATCCCCACTGTAAAGGGCGAAAATGTTATCAAAACCCTAATTACAAAAAAACCCAATTGAGAAAGTAAACAAGGAGGAGGACATACGAGTCTACAAGTATCGAAGGTGAAGTCAGATACGCCGTGTTTATTGAAGAAGTCGGTGGCCTCGTCGAGGATGATCGGATGGTGGAGATTGTACTCTTGAGTGCAACCAGAACACCTGCAAAAACAGGACTTGAATGGATAAGAATTCAAACCAGGACTTGAATGGACAAGAATTCAAACCAGCATAATGCAGTGGTAAAATCATGGTCAACGTCAAACTCGTTCATTAGGTTGCTAAAATACGCATTTCCTTGATATTCCATCTAAAGCACAATTGTTCATACCACACAAAAAGAATAGTGAAAAAAAAAAGTATCAATTCATGGCCTAATTCCAAAAATAATGAATTAGGGAATGGTGGACATAATTGGAACAAAGTAATTTTAAATTGGAACAAATCTGATTCATAATGGACATAAACATCTTTGAAAGTAATTTAAAATTGGACATAATTGGACATAATGGACAAATCTGATTCATAATGGAACAAAGTAATTTATAATTGGACATAATTGGACATCTTTGAAAGTAATTTAAAAGTTTCCTGATTCACAATTGTAAAGCACAAGTAAAGCACTTGCAGGCAACTGAAGATGGGGATAACATGAACCTTGAATATCATTTATCAACATGAGGCCAAAAATAAAGCACGGAATTAATGATCACTACTCTTTCACAAATAAATTCTCAAAGAAAAATATATTGGATTTAATAGGTCTATTTTAAGAAAAATCATAGACCCAAAATCAGTAAACAAAATTGCAACAGAGCATAACTGGGAAAAACTACCAGACAGCCCCAATGGGTTGATAGATTCAATAGCTGAAAGTCATAAGCGAGATCTATAAACAGTGGAGTCATTATTAACAATTAGACACCCCACGCTCCAGCCATCCACCGACATGGGCTATTTGTGATTCGGCTCACTTTATCATTTTCATTTTTATATTTTGCTTTTAAAAAAAAGTTCAAAAATAACAACAACTACATCATCAATGAGCTTGCCCTGACCTTAGCAGGCAAGTGTTCGGTTCTGTCTACTATTAGTCATGAGAGTAAGCAAAAAAGAAACATAAAAGCTAAAAATCATTGTATACCAAATAATAGACATTAAAATTCAGTTTCTGATTAAAATTCCCTAAAACTCAATCTACATGTAAATCACAAATTAGTGTTACAAATAAAACTCATAAATAGAATAAACCCAAAAAATCAGTGATATTTGTAAATCAAAAAAAGAAAATCTTAAAACTCAAATGGTTTTCCCTAATTTCATAAATCATAACTTAAATCTACAAATTAGTAAGTTTAGAGTTTCATTGAAAAAGAGAACAATTAAAAAAATCCCAAACAAATTTTTTTTTTCTTCACAATTCACAATTCACAATTCACAATTCTTGATTGGAATTGTCGGGTAATATAATGTAAAACAATCAGTAACCCTCTACACATCAGTGACAATCAATTCTTGGCTGCAATTAGTAACAATCAATAACACATAATATAAAACATGCATAGATTCTTGGCTGGAATTGTGGGGTCAATTCTTTGAGGCAATTTATCAAACATGTAGAGGACATTGGAGAAACCCATCTACACATTGAAAAACCTATCATCAAGCAATCTATAAAAGCAAATACAACAAAATATAAAAGTGAATCACTCAATCTACCAGGCACATTGCATAAATACTGATATAAAACCCAAAACCCAATTTTTTATTGCATAAATACTGAATATAAAACCCAAAACCCAATTTTTTATCCCAAAAAAAGTATCGAATGCAACTTTAAATAAACACAAATAGCATGAAAATACAGACCAACAAACAAAAATAATATGAAACAATGATGCGCCCTCAGATCTGATAGCTTCAAATAAATCATCAACGGTTTATACCCAGTGCCTATTATCAATTTCGCAATGAACAATTTCAGTACACAAACCCAATTTTTGCAAATGGATTGCCCTAAATCATGTATTCCTTTGTAGATGGATGATGGGGAAGAACAGGGAAGTGGAGAAAGAGAAAGAGAAAGAGAGCCATACCAGCAAGAGGGTTCGACGTGCCTAACAAGACCAGGAAGTTTGGGGAGCAAGACAGAAACAGGGGATTTGAGAGCAGAGGCAGGAGAAGAGAGGTTTTCGTCTTTGCAGAGGTAGCAAATGACATCGACCATGAGAGAGATTTGAGAGGCGGCTTGCCTAGGCAGAGGTCAGCTACGTCGTATGCTAGCAAGCGAACTGCCATACAAAACTGAATATGGGGGTTTTTTGAGAGAGAGAAAGAGAAGATGTGGAGGAGGATTCTTAGGTAGAGAGAAAGAGAGAAAGAAAGGCTGAGACTTGGCAGTGAGGCTTGGTAGAGAGAGTGGGCACCGAAGGAGAGAAAGAAAATTCAAATCCCGCCCCCATTGAAAATCAAATTTCCCCCCAAACTTTTGGCGACCAAACGTCAAATTAGTCGCAAAAACAGGTTCTTTCGCCGACAAATTTTTTTAGTTGCCAAATCTTAATCAACGGCGACTAAAATATTAGTCGCTAAAAGTACGAATTTGGCGACTAATTTTTTTTGGTTGCTGAAAATAAGGTTTTCGCAACCAAATTTTTGATCGCCAAAAAATATGTGACCTTTCGCGACCAAATTTTTAGTTGGTCGGCAAAAGTATACCACTTTTTGCAACCAACATATTTTTTGGTCGCCAAAATATAACCTTCTGCGAATAAAAAATATTTGGTCGCCAAAAATAATGATTATTTGCGACTAATTAAAATTTGGTCGCCAAATGTCATTTTTTTGCGACAAAAATTTTTTTGGTCGGCAAAAGTGGTCGCAAAATGTGTAAATTCTTGTAGTGTCTCGCCATCAAATACAGAGGTAGAAGTAATAGGACTCATGAGTAAAGTTATGATTAAACTATAACAAGGTTTACTTTTCATATGAAAATCTTACATGTTTCCACCCACTTGTCTAGGTAAAAGACATAGAAACAATCATGATAAAATGCCAACTTTCAACTTCATGAACTAGAGAGAATATTCCAAGAATTTGAAAATAAATTAAAAATCAATCAAGAAGTGCTATGCTTCTTCACTTATTTTTTTCCCTATATGAGGGCTTCTCAATCCCACTATTGGAGTTCCTTTGTAATTATACAGTGTTGTATAGTTGACTCTGCATTGTAATTGTGCTTAATTGTAACAATTCATCACAATCAACTGTAGTAGCGATCCACAAATGTAATCTTTTTTAATTTTTAAAAAACACCACAATTTAAAACATGGGTAAAAGTAATACTTCGAACGGATTATTAGAGTGGTGAGTATATAAAGAATAAAAAACTTGTGAGATCCCGATATAACAAATAAATAAATAAAATAAAGATAATATTTATGATAATATAATTTTATAAGTATCAAACTAATTTTCTTGAATCCTAAAATGTCAATTCATATTATTGAAGGGTATTTTAATTAAGTTTAAGCCTCAAGTAAATTTATGATGCAAGTCTAATAATAATAATAATAATAATAATAATAATAAAAGGAAAAAAATGACCGGTTATATAAGTGTTTGGAAAACCCTAAGCTCTGATATTATTTCTGTGAGGAGAAGGAGAAGGAGAAAGAGCAAGCAAGGAAGGAGGAGAGGAGGAACAGATTCATGGGGGTCAGTGGAGAGTGTGAGAAGAAGGAGAAGGAGAAGGAGAAGGAGAAAGCGAGGAATGAGGAGAGGCGGAACAGATTCATGGGTGTCAGTGAAGAGGGACTCAGCATGAGGAGTGGTACAAGGAGAAGAGGGAAAGATGGGAAGTCATATGACGAGAGGCACTAGAGTCAAAAAACCAGACAGACGAAGAGATACCTGAAGAAGACCCAAGCAAACCTGAATGAAGAGGGAAAATAATGGAGGCAGATGGAGATGGTTGTAAGGTAGATAATATATCTAAAGTTGACTAATTTGAGCAGTCAAGGAAGCCAAGTCAAGATCAGGAGCCGGAGCAGCTGCAACATAAGTAGCGGGAGGAGCCCGAAATTGGTTCTGAGACTGTTAAAAAGACGAGGCAGGCAAACATCATTTCTTGGGACAGTGGTACTTCCAATGGCCCCATTGATGGCAAAATGCACACTCATCAAAAGCCAAAGACATCGTAATACTAGACAGCTGAGGTCTAAGTGTAATAAAGCAAAATAGCCAAACTAAAGATCAAAGGCTAATAACTAGAAAGTTGAGGGGTCTAAACTGTAATACACCCAAAATAGACCACAATAACCAAGCTAGGGGTCGGAGTATACTAAACAGGAAACTAAGGGGGGCTCTAGTGTAATAAACCTTAAAGGGTTTTAAGTGTTAATACCCAAGAAGTAGAATCACAGAACCAGCCATCTAACAAATAACCAACAATATAAGGCTCAGACGAGAGAGATCAGTGAACCTCACGAGTGAGAAAGAATCAAACCAGAGTGAGAGATTAATGGACAGAGACGAGACACTCTTCGCAATCGCAATCAGACCAAGACCAGAATGTCACGACTTCAGACCACCAGTCAAAGGACCTTCACTACTTCAGACCAGAGAACCAGAGAGAGAGACAAAGAGATCACCAACTAGAGTCAGCAAGAATGAACCAGAGCCACATAGAGACCTCGCGAGGCAGAAATCGAGCCGGATAAGGAGTGAAATATTGATCGCGAACAAACGAACCAGATGAGAGAGAAAACTTCAATCAAACCAGACAAGAGAACCAGTTGAGTTCGAGAGAAAGGAATTGATCGAACCAGATGGGTCGACAAATCAACTTCGAACCAGATGGGTTGATGTCAAACCTAGGGTTTTGAACCAATCTAATACCATGTAAGTTTTATGAGAGAATTCGTATATTCTGTTGTGTATTTGATACAAGAATACATCAATATATATAACAATCCAAACCCTAGAACTAAGAAAGGAAACAAAATTATATGATCAATCCCTAATATATACAGAATATATATACTACCATATATACATAAACCTACTATTCTCACAATTTCCACTACTCACAGTCGTGTGTGGCCGAAGGAGTGGAGAGTGGGAGAAACTGAAAGAAAGAAGTCATAGCCAAGGAAAGGGATAGCTTTGGGTGTGTTGTAGCCGTGTGTGGGTCATCTAGGAGGTAGGCCTCTAGTTTTCTTTCTCCTTTCCCTCGTTCTGCATCCTTTATTCCATTTTTCCATTACTATCAATCCTTGCTCAATACCATGACTAGGTAGGTATTTGAGAGGGGGATATCATATACTATTTTATTGATGATTGCATCTGGTAAATGAGTGCACTTTAGCTTGGAGTTGCTTTGTTTATTTTCCGTTTTGGTAACTTTTGAGTTAGTAATGACATGTAGTCTTTCAAACTTGGTTCAGGGTTGAGGGCACTAGTTTGACTTTCATATTCTTCGCAAGGATCGTATTGTTCCTGTCACGCCCCAAACTTGCCCCTAAATGTTTGGGCATGACCTATTCAGAAAAGGACACTTAACCTGTTATACATAACATATGGGGCCTGAACGAAAGCATTAAATTTTATAAAATAACATGAAATAAAAAGAAGCTACATCCATTGAGCGACCACTATCATGCCAGGAACACAAACAGAACATCAGATAGAAAATATTTACATGCACATAGACAAACCGCGCCCCTTATTTGGGCGTATAACAAAAACATTGGAAACTTCAACATATTATAGACAATCAGAGTACTGGCCAAAAACTTAGCAAAACTCCACAAAAATGAGCAGGCTTCATCCAAATGCCTGGACACACAGAGGTTGACAAAAGAGAGACGAGCATCGGGGTTAAGGCTGACCTCCAGATTTATTACCTACAGAACTAGACAAAATACAGAGTGAGACAATCTCAGTGAATAATAGCACTTAAACAAGTCAATGAACAACTTGAAGTATAATGCACATCAATGCGTATATAAATGCAAAAGACATGTAATTAATCCGATGCTGTAATTATTTCCAAAACGGCCTTGGGCCCAGTCTTTAAACAGATTGGCTTCAAGCCCAGATTAAACAGAGTGGAGTTAAGCCCAGATTGAACAGAGTGGCATTAAGC